TTCTAAAAATATTTTCACGGTAATTCTTCTGATCAACTTTCCTCTTTGCTTCCTTAACTTCACAAATTTAAGCGCAGTACTAGATTGGCAGTGAGGTCTCATAATTTCACTATTGAAATTGCTAGATATAACCGCAAATACTATGTTAATAGTTTCTTAACTCGCACTTCTCGCTTGTGGAAGCCTCAACAATGATTTTCAAAAATTTAATGCATTGCCAATCGTTATCTTCTGTGTCCTTGAATTCTGTTCATTTATTGTCCACTTTGCGTCTTTCACTGTCAGTAAACCATATTAACTTAGTGTTTTATTGCCTTGTTTGTGGTGAGATGATTAAAAAAAATTAATATCTACTGAAAGAAAGTAATTTTAAAATCTTCAATAGGCCGTTCTGATAAGAGAAACACTTGAGAAATCAAAAATGGATTTGTTTTGTGCAATGCAAACTGAATGGAAATATAAGCAGTGTTAAATTTTGGCCAGAAAAATCCAATGTTAGAACGCGAAAACATTTTTACCGAAAGAAATAATGAAAACTGATTTTTTAGTAAAAGAACTTCAGATTTTCCTTCAGAAAATGTCTGGCCTTTGCATTTTTATTTTTGTCTTGATTACGTAATGGCAGAAAATAAAAACATTAACTTCCAAATCGAAATTGGAAGAGACATGGAAAATTTTCATAAAACATTATGCTGTAACTATATCAGTCATTTGGGCTTCCTTGACCCGATATAAAATTAAGTCTGGCATAAGACCTCAAGTATAAAGTAACAAAAATCGTAATAGCTGGACGACAACTAAAACACTTCCATATTCACAAGGTTTATGTTAGTCTTATACAATGTAACAATTATAGGTTACCAACTAAGAAGCCAAAACCCATGATTAATATGCGAGAATATCTGCACAACGACTACACTTATGTATTTATAAAGTTTAGATAAAATCATCCAAAAGACCAAAAATATAGACTAACTTAGTATCTCTATCTATAAAAGGCAGGATGTATGTGTGTGTGTGTGTGTAACGAATGCACGGCCGCAATTTTCGACGGATTTGCACCAAAATTTACATGCACATGCTCCAAGTTAGCGGGAAGGCCAAGATCGACTTTGCATTTCCCAACTCCCATCGATAGTTGAAATAATCGACTTTTCATGCTTCTACGGCAGTTTTCATGTAGTTTGCGGCCATTTTCTACTGACCAGAGTGAGAGCCTATAGCTGGCTGCCACGAATAGGCAGGAAGATTCTATTGGTCAGCGTGCGAGTCAACAGCTGACTGACACGAATGTTATCTAGCATGCTAGCATGCAAAAAAAAAAAATCGATAGCTGCATTCGTCATAAGTGGAAAAATTTAAATCTGCATGGCACTTTACTCCAATTGGCTCATTCGCTTGCTTAAACTCAACGTTGATTCTGATTCCGCAGAACTGGGTTGATTTGAAAAATTATTTGTCGTTAACATTCTTTTTTCATTCGGTTTTTCCAGTTACGAGTCCTTTTTTAAAGCTGATCGTTTTGTGTTCATTTTGTTTAGTTCTTTTTTCGTCACAGATTTAATATTTAGTATAGAGCTTAGAAAAAATTCGCAGTGTGAGATAGGCAAGAGGTAAGGCATGTAGCAACATCAGCATGGCAAAGGGCACTCCTTTAAAGGCAAGGAAGGGCAAATATATTTTAAGTCAAGTGATAGCGATTGCTGTATGAGTCGTACGATTTTTAAATCAAGCACGGGCAACGCCGGGCCATGCTGCTAGTCATGATCCATAAAGTAGCAGATGTTTGAGGGACGAGATTGGGAGCCACACCCATCAAATGCTAGTCATAAGAGGAATAAACCTACAGAATGAATTATTTAGAAAGAATTGAAGTCTCTACAACCGTAATGGGAGTTTGTGTCAGTAATTCAACGGCGCATTTCCTACGCTATGTACCTATTTCTAAGTGTGCCACAATTATAGGTTATCCATAAGCAGTCGAAAAGGTAACACTTTTAAAAGTCTGCGAGTGTTTGTTTGCATCTATATTTCAACAGTCTGGCATCATCCGGAGTTTACCTTATGTGTTATCAAAAAAAAGCTTACATCTCTTCACTTGTAATGATCTTCGAGTGTAGTTTTGTGATCAATTCTTAAATGTTTGTTTTTCTACAAATTTTCTCATTTTAACTTTAGTAGAAATACACAAAAATATAGTATTATGATGATCAAACTTATTAGGTTGGTGCAAAAACAATGTCATTTTTGACGTTCAACTTCAAAAGATCATAACTCCTTTCATAATAAACTTTATTAATCGAAATAAGAACCATTAGAATCGACACATTTTTGCCAACGAGAAACAAGTTTATTTATCCCATTAGCATAGAAATCTGGAGTTCTGGAAGCGATGAAGTCATTGAAGGCCGATTTGGCATCATCTCGGCTTTTGAAGCATTTTTCGCGCAGGAAGTTGTCGAGAGGCTTGAAAAAGTGATAATCGGTGGGCGAGAGGTCCGGTGAATATGGCGGATGAGGCAGAGTCTCGTAGCCCAATTCGTTCAGCTTCTGCAGGGTCTGTTGAGCAACATGCGGGCGAGCGTTGTCATCGAGGAGAATTGGTCCCTTCATATTGACCAATCTCGGGCACATACGTTGGAGCTTCTGGTGCATTTCGTCAATTTGTCGGCAGTACTTCTCCGCCGTAATCGTTTCGCCCGGATTCAAGAAGCTGTGATGGATGAGACCGGCCGCAGACCACCAAACAGTCACCATAACCTTTTTTTGGTGCAATTTCGGCTTCGGGAAGTGTTGTGGAGCTTCTCCGGCATCCAACCACTGTGTCGAACGTCGCTGGTTGTCGTAGAGGATCCACTTCTCATCACACGTCACAATCCGCTCGAGAAATGGGTCGTTTTTGTTGCGCAGAAGGAGTGTAGAAGACACCTCAAAACGACGATTTTTTTGATTATCGTTCAATTCATGCGGCACCCATTTATCCAACTTTTTTGACTTCCCTATTTGTTTTAAATGGCTAACGACTGTTGAGTGGTCGACCTCGAGGTCAACAGCAACTCCTCGTGTGGTTTTGCGAGGGTCAGCTTCAGTTAAGGCTTTCAAATGTTCGTTATCAACCGCAGTCGGCCGGCCGCGACCGTTTTCATCTTCGAGGCTCTCGTCACCATTGCGAAATTTCTTGAACCACCGTTGTGCCACACGTTCGTTAGTGGTTCCTGGTCCAAACGCACCATTGATATCACGAGCTGTCTCGGCAGCTTTTCGGCCTAGTTTGAACTGGAACAAGAAAATCGTGCGGATTTGAATTTTGTCCATGCTGTCGAAAAGCCTGCAAAAAAATGAATGAAGAGATTGAGAACGGTAACGAATAACACGATTCGATAGAGCGAAAAACGCGCTTCAAAATTCAATATAACATGGCTATATATATATATCAATGAATTAATTCAGAAATCATATATAAAAGTAACATATGTGAGAAAACGACATTATTTTTGCACCGACCTAATACTCGCCGTAGATATTCTATGTACACTGACTCAAATTTGCCTGTTATATATCGTTATATTTCTCTTTATGCTAATTAGCTATTACCTAGACCAATCCTATTATATCTTCCTGAATATTTTGGCTTTCACGTCCTGCGTCGATGTACGGCTTCTCTTATATCCCCCCTCTCTCTCACTGGTTTCTTTGGATCATGTAACTTTCGGCAATTCCTTCCTATGATGGAACATAAATTATAAGGATCGGATCTCTTCTTTAGTTGAATATTTCTCAATATTATTTCTTTGACTTTCTTAAATGTCAAGTTTTCAATTTCAGCCGGGTAAGTATTAACGAAATCTGCCTAATGGTTTCGCATTCCGCAGTGGCCAAAAATAGATCCGTGATTTCTTTCTGTTCTTCAGGTGTTTGGTCATCTCTTAAGTTCTTTCTTCTGGCACGTGCCTTTGAAAGCATTTTATCCAAATCTTTACGTTTTCAGGTTCTTCTATGTTCAACAGAGCTCTGTTAGGCGATGCCATTTTGTTATGATGATCAAACTTAGTAGAAGTAGATATACTACGTACATTGACTCAAAGTTGCCCGTGAGCTATAATTATAGCTCTCTTTATGCTAATTACCTATTAGCTAAACCAATCCCATTACATATAGTTTATCCCGGATCGTAATAAGCTATTTTGGCAACTAGTGTTCACCCTCTAGGTATCGTACCCATTGAAAAGTTTCATCTAACGGAAGGCCATAAGAATATTGTACCTTGGAACAGTCGGATTCCCTACCGTGTTAAGGGACTTCGTAATATCATTGTTGCCAACAGCTCAACGTATTTAATTTACTTTGATAGAAAGCCACGTATGTAATGTCAGAAACATGTAACCAAACCACGTCCTAAGTATGACAATAAGCTACATCTGGTAGCAAGGCCTCTAATGCTTAATTGCTGTTGTTCCAAGGTCGAAAATTATCCGGGGTAGTAGCACCTGTTAGGGTGCCAGATATGGGAAAATAGTCAAACCCCGAAACTGGAGTCAAAACACTATGGAAGTATGGAAAGAGATTATTATAGTAAAAATACCAGCAATACATTTTTGAAAAAATTACCAGCAGTACATTTTTGGGAAAATATTGTCAGGAAAAAATTTTTGTAAAATAATTTACCAACGCTCTGGAGAAAATTGAATTTCGGAACTAAATGACCCATAAGGAGTTGATATGCCGCAAAATAAACAAACGAATAACCAAATTATTAGCAAAGAGTTAGGCTCTTCTTTTCTACGACACTGCTTGCAAATGGAATGGAATTGTACATTTGTGACAAAGCTTGCGGCCATATCACGTTGAAACACCGATTCTCGTACGATTAATAATACAGATTTGTTGTTTTATCACAACATTTAGGCCAATGTCTTTTTTTTCGGCCTTCCACGATTATATATAATATTAAAATGACGTCCATTTTTTTCTCGGATTCAACCTACGTTTTCAATTAGGCTGATGGTCATATCACGTTGAAACACCGGTTTCTGTACGATCACCGAAGTTAAGTAACGTTGAGTTTGGTCAGTACCGGAATGGGCGACCGCTTGAAAATACCAGGTGCTGTAAGCTTGGATGTGTGATTGATTTGGAAATGTCTATCCAAGAGCCGAGTTCCAATTCCAGTTGCGTTCGTTATATTCAGTTATGCACAAATAACCTTGACGAAGGTATCAATCCCCGCTATGGGTTAAATAGTAAGACTTGTATCAGTAAATCATTATTATTGCCAAATAATTCTTACAGTCTTAAAATACTTTTTGGCCTTAAAAGGTTGATAAGCCTTAAAAATCAATCAATCATTTGCAACTACATCATCTATCTATCTATCTATATTTCTGGGATGAGGTATTATGTACATTATTTACATTATTCGTACTATAGTTCGCATCTTTGCCGTCATATTTATTACAATGTTTCGAACTGAACCCTTTATTTCGCTCACTAGGGTAGACTGTTCTAGTTCCACGTGCCATGTTTAATGAATGTCAGTTATCAGTTATTTCCTGCTAATTCCACTCTGCAAGTTCTCGACCTGCAAGTTGGGTCCTGTCACTGGATCTAACCAACGCCTTCATCCACTGTGTAGGCGAAATAAAGGGTTAAATTCGACATTCCAACCACCTGAAGAAGGCCGGAGCGTACAACGACCGAAACTTTGTAATAAATATAGCGGCAAAGATGAGAACAATAGTCCGAATAATGTAAAATATATATATATATATATATATATATATATATTATTTATATTACACACACACACACACACACACACACACACACACACACACACACATATATATATATATATATATATTTGCTTGTCTGAATCATCTTCAAGAAGCGAAAGAAAGATCTAAAAAGTTAACCAATCTAACAGTGATCTCATCTCACAATCCTTAACTTGCTCCATATGTGGCCTCCTTTGTAAACCACTAGCGGGTCTTAAATACCACTTAAGATTAGCGCATAAACTTTCATAATTGAATCAATAAGCTGGCAGATCCTCATACGTCGAAACCGACGGGAGAGTCCATTATATATATATATATATATATATATATATATATATATATATATATATAGAGAGAGAGAGAGAGAAAATTAAGCTATTTTCAAAGCGTCAAAGAACAACCCTACCAACACTAAGCCAGCCAAAGGAAAAAAAAAAAAAACATAAAGAGACAAGGAAAACGAAAAATAAAGACCAAGAATATAAAAAAAATATCTTGAAAAAAATTAACGACAACGATAACAGAGAAATAAGACAGCCACTAGCCTTTTACATGAGAAGCTTCCACCACATCCTGGGAATAGCGTGGCAGGACAAGGTACGAAACACTGAGGTCCTGTCTAGAGCAGGTCTGCTAAGCGTATACACACTGCTCAGACAACACAAACTCCGTTGGTTGAGCCATTTCCACCGCATGCCAGACGCCCGCATCCCCAAAGACCTGTATGGAGAGCTGGCCTATGGAAGAAGACTCGCCGGGCGCCCACAGCTGCGGTACACCGGCGTCGTGAGGCGCAACATGAAAGCTGTGGACATCAACATCCTGGGAGAGCCTGGCAGCCATACGATCCAAATGGAGAGGTACCCTAATCAACCACATGTCAGGGGAGGAGAAGCAGACGCAAGTCGCCACGGGCCTGCAGAAAGCAAAGTGACAGCTCCAACAGACTAGAGACAGAACACACATGCGACCTTTGCAACAGAGATTGTCACTCCAGCATCGGCCTCTACAGTCACAGCAGCAACACTAACAAAGCAAACAGCACTCGGGGACTCATAACGGAGTTTAACACAATGTGATCGTTGCATGAAAAGAAAAAAAAATTGCATGATCTCGGATTTCCAAAGAGGAAAAATTTGCTTGAGAGCCAGTCGCTAAAACCACTGAATTATTTAATGTTTCAAAATGTGCAGCGCCTAAAATGTTGTCAAGCATTCCATAACCAATGTAAAGGAAATTCTGGTAAGCATAATTCTAGGCAGAAAGCACTGAGAGAGGGACCGCGGATGACTGAAACATATTTTGTCTAAAATCCATAAATGAGCCACTACTTTACTAACCCCGTGTCAGTCAAAACCATATGTCATGAGCTCCTTAATGCTTGATAGTATTAGAAGGTTGCAATTGATAAATTTCTCCTGTCCTCTAGCAAAATGTATCAGTTAAAAAATGGCGCTGAGACTATCAAAAGAGTTTAATCTTTGATGAAGCAGGGCGAATTTATGTCCGAAGACCGTTCAAAGAACCTTCAACACTGACTGTTTGACCCCTATACTGAAGAATAGATGTGTTTCTTTTAGGAGCTGTGTCGCCAATCGCATAATTATTTTACCGCTTTAGAGTGTTCTACGTGGCATAGTTAACAACAAGGATTATCTAATGATTTCGATTGAATATAATAAAACTTCCATTTAACAAGGCGTTTCGATTATTTTCTCCAACCCCTTCTATGTCCGAGAAATTTCAACATTCTCTTCTTGATTCTAAGAATAGCTGTCTTTTACTTCCTAGTTTCTTACATGATACATCCATGATATTCTCATCTCACCATCTTTGGTTAAAACCACGTCCATGTTCCTTCAAGTGACTTCTTCATCTATGAAGAACTTGTCGAACATTCACTGGCATATAGTAGGATTGATATTACATAGCATTTGAGAATTCATTTCTTTGTATTTAACGAACATTTCTTAAATACCCAAATCGCCTCGCCCATAAGCAAGCTCTTCGCAAACCCATTACCATTACGGAACTAGTGTCCCTATTCCAGGCTAATTAAAGCTTAGTGAATGTGTTTTTTCTTTAAAAAAACCCATTAATTTTCATTTTTTAGTTTACCGCGTCTATATTCGAGATCATCTTTCAACAATAAAAACGTATATTTTTGGCAGCGTAGACAATGTTTACTCTAGAAATATTCACAAGAATATTAATTTATTTGAAATAGTAAAGAAATATCTATATTTCTTTTTCCTAATATATTTTATTTTTCCGAAAATTAGGAGTATAAAATTAAGATTAATATCATTTAATAAAAGTATGAAGTGTATCTGATGTAATGAATATGCATACACCTGGGTTCCCCCCTCAGAGTAATATGATTGGCTGGTGTCAGCCATAAATACAGACTGATGTGGAGGTACAGGGACGACGCCTATTGGACGCCTATTGCCTACTCCTATTGCCTACCTCTACGACGAGGACCAGTCCATTACGGTTACCTGCTAGATTGTCCTACCCGGTTACAGTAGTCCAAAACCACTTTGCTACTTCGGACAAATATATCCCTTTTCGGGACATATCAGTATCCATAAAATGTTCAGACATTTAATATTAGCAAAAATATAGCCTACCTAGAACAAAAAGCTTTATTCCTCTTCAAACTAATTTCATTTGGATATTAAGAACTTAACTCTATATTGCTTATATCTTGCAAAAAAGTCTTAAGATTCTACGGGATCGCTATCGGCTGCCGTGTCTTGTTCTTTTGATTCTCGTACACGGTTTGAAATCTCGTACCTCACAACATCGATTTTAGCTTAAATCGTAAAGTTGTAGATATACCTTTTTCGGTTTTTCTGTGTAAATCATATCTCTGTTTTTTTTTTTTTTTGTTTTTTTTGGTGTTGTGGGTGTTTTATAATTTGTTTTCATTTGTTTGTTTTTTTCTCTCTTCCTTCTTTTCGTTTTTTCATGAAAACGTATCCTCTTTAACTATGATAGGTTCTAGCGTTAAGCATTCTGAATGCTTCCTTGCTCTATGAAACAAGCACAAAGACCAAATCGACAGACATAAAGAAAATCCTAGTGATTCAATGTCTTACTTTTTCAATAAAATCTGTAGTAATAATAGCGAATTGCCAATGAGGCCTGAAATCAAGTGGAAGATGACGATTTGTATCTAATTTTCCGGTGATCATTGCAACGAACTCTTACGTACAAGGTGCCGAGGAAAAATTCTTGAGTTGACCCATTTTTCAAAATTTGAACAAATGGAGAAACAACAGAACTTTTAATCTGACTGTTAACTTTTCAGCTTCACCTAAATATAGAAAAATTCAAAATGTTTGAATTGTCGATTACCTGCATTGTCTGTAGGGATCTGAAATCAAACCAAACACTGCAGATATTTCGCTGGTTTACTGTGAATCAGATACAAAAGAAACAGTTAAAAACGAAAATGGCAAATAAGATTACCATTGAAGATACATTGAAAAGTTAATCGTTAAATTATTATTATTATTATTATTATTATTATTATTTGTGGATGTTATGTTTCCTGCTTTGTATCCTGTAGAGCCTGGCCCAAACTATCGTCATTAGACTCTGTAGGAGAGTTGTCATTGATAGCGCTTTTCTTAGTCTATGGGATGTTCCTAGTCGGGTGATTTTCTGGCCAACCTGTATGTTGATGTTACCCGAGACACTTTTAGTAAAATTATCCATTCTTTTTTTTTCACGAGACCCAGAACCTCGACTATTTTTGGTATAGTCTCCGTCTTCATTCCCCACATCCTGTTAATCTCGATCTCCAGGTCCTTGTATTTGGATATTTTCTTGATAATTTTCATTGAGGTGTTTCTCTCAGATGGAACTGCTATGTCAATAAGCATACACTTCCGGAATTTCTTGTCTTTTATAATAATATCAGGTCTGTTGGCTTATACTTCCCTGTCAGTTTGAATTGACATGTCCCAGAGGATAGTTACATCATTTTGGGTAACTGTGTCTGGTTGGGGCTCATGCCATCTCTCAATGGTTTCGATTTTGAGCTTCTTTCATATTTTCCAGTGCACATATGTCGCTACCTTGTTATGCCTGTGGATATATTCATTTTTTGCTACTTCCGGTCATCCTTAGATAAAATGATCGACAGTTTCATCATATTTTCCGCAGATCCTGCATTCCGAGTTAGTTCCATCCTTGATTATGTCACAGTGCTATGACCTGGTTGCGAGGCTTTGGTCCTCAGCTGCAACAATTAGGCCTTCTGTCTCGGTTTTCAGCTCGATGCTCCTGAGCCACTGATGTGTTTCCCGTTGGTCCACATCTGCTT